TGTAGAATGGTTGGTGGGACAAGAAGAGTGATTGACAACTGCAGAAATTACATCTGAGGTTTAGTCCTGCAGGAAAAGGGGATACAAATTGCCTGCAAATTATCCATGAGTCCCTGATGAGCCTGAGGAGAAAATTTAAGAGGCTTCAGGCTTTCTTCAACAAACATGTTCACGTGTCTCCTTTTGCTATAACACAATAACACCCAAGAGAAAATGTCCCTGTAAAAACAGTACTTTTGTTTCTTATCCTTGTCAAATGTCGTAATAGTAAATGTGTAAATGCCAATTAATAGCCTTTCTCATGTGCCAATAGTTTTCCGCGTGTAATTCAGAACAGAAGTGGTATATGAGCTTTGACTGATGGGTTTATAATCTAAAGAAGATATTGAGTTTTATGCCATCAAAACACGTGGTGTTAACTTTATAGGGTGCATAATAGCCTGCAAGGATTTGCACTGCTGATCTTAATAAATATGCATCACTTGAGAAGAACTAAATACAGTAGAATAATAGAAATAATAATGATGATCGATACTCAGAAATCTAAAATGAACAGGTTATACTTCTTTTCTAACTAAGAGTACATGGAAATGTGATATTCTAGACTTTGCACCTACCTGGCTTACAATATTGGCTTTCTAAGGTATTAGTACAGTGCTACTCAAAATGTGACGGGCAAGCCACTGCTGATTCTCAAATTTTTGTACATGTCTTGATGCAATAAGTACAGAAATTGAGAATAACTATTTAGGACCTTTTATTTCAATTTGACAGAGTAATTTAATTGTATGTCTGTTGAATCATGTAATAACAAATCGAGGCCTTGAATTTTATGTCTTTGTTTTTTTAAATTTCATTTTTTAGTAATTCATTTTCTATCTTATTTTACAGAAACATTTGTTCATGACACTTTGGGGGAAAACTGGGCCCTCAATACAAATAGTTTGAGAAATACTGCTCTAGAATGCTGTAAAGTAATTGATGAGATAAATAGAAACCACCTCTTTAAGCCTTAGGTTTTTCACCTAAAAAGTGGATTTAATAATAGCACTTACCTCTTGATGCTGGATCTGAGAATTAAAGGAAGATCGATATCTTTAAGGTGCTTAGCACAGTGCCTGCCCTTAGTTGGTGCCCCTCATCCCAACATTGACCAATAGACTGGAGGAGGTGACATTTGAAACTATATGTATGTAGGACACAGTTTCTGTTTGTAACAGGCCTTAGGTGAATATCCCCATCAACTAGCAATCTCCTTCTGGAATCAAACCACCTGGTTTGACAGAATACAAATTCATTCACTATTGACTTGCATGAAGAGACCACATTTCTCTTTTGGTCTTTCCCGACTATTTAGTGTAATTGCTCCATCATCATAGTGTAGAATGCCCTTCTATATGTTTCTTTTTGTTTTCCCAAAGTCATTAATTTGAGCAATTGCTACAAGCCTCAACAAGTAAATTATTCTGCTCTTTATTGTTCACTAAGCAGTTGTATTATTTTGGGACCAGGATAAAATGACTTGTCACTTATGAATGGCAAGCATATAGATATAAACTTTGGTTTCAAAATATGCGTTACTTTAGATGATACTTCATAGAACAAAGAGAAAAATATGCAATCTCTACAAGTCAAGAGGCCAGACAATTTTTTCAAAAGTGTGTTTTGGCTAAATGTCGAAAGTAAAGTTTGCATGCCTCTTCAGCAGGCATTGGTAATGGCCAAAGAAAGTAGCTGGCTATTTCTGAGCATAGATGTTTCACTGAGGAGAGTTCAACCAAAGAGTTTTTTTCCTTTTTGAATTATAGTACACTGCAGTGGAGAACATGAGGCTTTATTGTCAGACTGACTAGCATCCAAATCATGGTATTGCAACTTAACTGGATCCATCAGGCAAATCTTTTACTCCCTTTGAATCTCAGTTTTCTAATCTATAAATCAAGAGCTAATGAGATTATGTTTGAGCATAGTAGGTGCTTAAATAATATTAACTCTCTTTATTCAGTTAGTAAACTTCAATTGCTTTTCTTTAAAATAATCAATGAGTTGACTTTAACGAGATTCCATGAATAGAATCGGACATTAAAGCATAATAAAAATAATATGTCAGTATTTATTTTTAAAAGCATGCATTGGATTTGGCTGACTCAATGTACAACAGACTGTTTAAAAATGTGACAGACTCTTTCCAAGGTCAAGCATCTTCAACTCCTTTTCACTCTGCCTAGAACTCTTTGCTCCAGCCAGAATAACTTTCCCATGCGTGTGACTTGGCTCATTCTTATATTTAGTCCTTTGTGTTTAGCACTCTTCTTGAAATGACCTTTTGATGCCTCTCTGCCAAACCGCACACTCCTGTTAAATCGTTCATCATTCACGTCGTCCAGGAACTAGCAGAAAGAAATCTGGTCAAGTGATTCACTCCAGCCCATCTTTCAAGACTCTAGGTACTTTCAGGGAGCTGCACCAGTCCCCACTTTGACTAATTTTCTTGCTATAGTTTTCTATACTATTTTCACATTCATAGCTTCTTTCTCCCTATCGGTACTATAAAGTTCCATTTCTTGGGGTTACACTGAATACATTCAGAATCAGTGAGGCTGTCACCTGTTCAAGGCCACACAGTTTATGGCTGATTTCAAACAGGTGGCTAGTTCTTTGGGTATTTAGTTTGCTATTGTTTTCATTTCATGACCCTACTTTACTTAGCGGGGAAATGGCTGGTACTACTGACTGACTGAGAAACAATGGGGGAACTTCAGGCATGGAAAGGCAGCTCTAGAAGGAGCAGATGAGGGGCATGAAGTGTAATGCAGGAGACAGGGCAGGACAGAGGAAGGTAAGGGAGGGAGAAAGTGTGCCTCGAAGGAATAATTGGCTTACTCCAAGCATTTCACATGTAAAGAAAATTTAAAAACACCTAAACGACAACAAGAAGAAGACCACATTTCTGCTTTGCTTCTATTTTGTGCTTAATAAACAATACACTGTCACTGCCAACAAAAACAGCAACATAACTGTGCTTTTTCCCTGGCATTAACTGTAAACAATCTACTGGATTTGGGTCAAAATTGTAAACTGCCAGCATGTTAAAAATAAAAACAGAAAACAAACCTGGCCTTTTCCTTAAGGGTTGTGGGGGTGAATGCAGGACAGGAGCCAGAGAGAAGAGTTACTATAAAAAATAACTAGTGCAAACATCCTTGAACTGATGTTTTCTATAAAAATCTGTTGGCTGTGAATTGGAAAGGGTAAAGTGGGAGGGATAAAGGAATGGGGGATCAAGTGGTGTCTGCTTATCGTCAGCTAGCTTTCATGTAAAAGTCATGGCAGGGTCAGCAACAAACTAGCCAGGTGGCAACTCCAGGCCACGCTGCCATAAATAAATAGTTATGTACTAATGTCACACAACCAGAGCTAGATGCAAAGCATATGGCAAGAAAACATTCTGATGTAAATATTCAGAAAAAACATGGTTTCTGAATTTAGGATCCACCGTTGTTACCGGACTTTGAGACGCCTGGGAAAATAAAGTGGTGGAGCTTTTTTTAAAACCTGGACTAAAAGATTCTTTGAAATGTAGATTATTCTCTTTCAAGAAATCCTTAACCTTTGGCCTAAGAGAGTGTGACTATTTGGTGCCGTAATTAAGCATTACTGAGAGTTGGCAAGAGCACAGACTCTGGAACCAAATTTCAGCAGTTTAAACTTTATGCCTGCTGCTTACTTGTTCTCATGACCTCTGGGAAGTTACTTAACCTTTTCATGCCTCAGTTTATTCACCCTGTACAAAGGGAGGAGGAAGGTGATAATGGCAATAATACCTGCTTCACAGGAAGTTACGAGGATTAAGTGAGTCAAAGTGCAGGGAGCCTGTAAAACAATAGCTGGTAAGTGCCATGTCCATGTGAACGATCATTATCAAGCAGTCTTACATAGGCTATTTATCTCACATAGCCTAGCTGCTGGATGTTATGCTGAGGAATTCTTGTACTATCCTATTTAATCTTAACAACTACCTCATGAATTAGAAATCAGTTTTACAGGCAAAGGAACTGAGGCTTAGATGGATTAAGGAATTTATCAGAGAAGGTATATCTAAGCTAAATTTCCAACCCATACCTATTCCAGATTAAAAAAAAAAACAAAACACACACTTACACATTCTCTATCATCTAAACACTTTTTCCTTCATTTGCTTAAAATGTGAAAATTTGAAAAGAAACACAATACATGGCCTTCTAAGAACAAAATAGGTTTTTTAAAAAGGGTTTTAAAAAGGGGGCTGATGTCCTAAGAAATTGCCTCAGGAGATATGAGATCTGCTCACAGCACCAGAGAAAACAGGTTAATTCATTCATTAACCCATTTCTCCAAACATTTATTGAGCGCCTATTTTCTGAGAGCTGGGATACAAAGACGGGTAAGAAATGATTTCAGTCCTTGAGCGATATTCTTTACTGCTGTTTGATGATGTCGGATTTTTCTAGTTTGTTTCCCAGCCCAAGTTTGGGGAGTGGGGGCTGGGGGGAGAGACTGCCATCCACGCAAGCTACAGAAGTTGTTGGTTTTCTCACAAGTGTAGTGTCCACAGCGATCTTAGGGTCTTATTGCTCAGCCCCTGCTCGAAGAGTGCTTAGAGACTTCAGTGAAGGTGTACTTGCTTTGTAGGTCAGTCTCCAATTGGGGCTGCATTAAAACGGACACGTTTGGAAGCGTATTCAAATCGCGCGCCCTGGCAGTGGCTTTCCGGGGTTCAAGCTTTAGGATCGAGGGACACCGTGTGCCCTGACGCTGGGTCTGTGCAATAGGACTCCTTGGCTTTTGGCAACTGGGAGGGTAAGAACGCCTCGAGCACACCAGGTTGATCCCAGGTAGGCGATGCCTAGATAGCGGCAGGCTGAGACTTACATGTCGCCTCTGTCAGTGGCCGCTACTTCCTGGTTGGTTTGCCCTTAACCAACATGGCGGCTATTTGCCTTCGGCCTGTCCTACTGCGGCTGCTCAGAAAGACAAGGCTGGGCAATCGGGTCTGCAGCCCGCCCCAAGCTGCCGCGGAGCTGCCGGGTTAAACCTAGGCTGTGCAGCTAAGGTAGAAGGGGGATAGGGGTAAGCCAAGGAAATCGAGGACCCAGCGCAGTGCCGCTTTGTGCCCACCCCTCATCTCCCGGCACCAAGGCTGCTCGAGCTCAGGGTTTTTTACTTGTCCCCGCCATCTCCCAGTCTCTGGCCCAACATGATATTGACTAAAGCTCAGTACGACGAGATAGCCCAGTGCCTAGTGTCTGTACCTCCCACAAGGCAGAGCCTGAGGAAGCTGAAACAGAGGTTCCCCAGGTAAGTGCCCATCTCTTCCCCCTCACAGCCCTTTGCCTGCAAGCTGTGCCTGGGCAGCCGAGCCAGCACTTAGGAACCACGTGTCACACATGTCAGGTGTTAGGAGATCAAAGATGGCAAAGAGGTTTCTTATTTATTCTGCCTTCCAGAGGAAATTCTCAGTGGATGAATTCTAGGCAGCTGCCCAAGGCTTTGCAATTAAAATCAAGTGAACAATTGTTTATTGAAAACTTGGTCTGTGCTAGGTGATGGGTGCACATAGTAGGTGCTCCATAAATGTCTAGGTAAATTGGCAGATACTAGGAATGAATGATAGGTGACAGGGCCCTCTCAAAGTAAAAATAGATTCCGAAGGAGGAAATGGAGGACCGTTTTCAGTTGGCCCATGGGAACAAACAAGGGAGCACTGGCCTAAAGGGGCCTCCTGTTGGACTATGGCTCTCTACTACAATTAAGTGACCTTAAGTGTTCCCACGCCATTCAGAGACTGATACCCTACGGATCCCAATCTCGTGTCAAGATTGGCCATTTGAACAACAATATATATGTATACATTCCCGGTGTATTTCATCCTTCTCTTTTCCCCCAAACATTTCTTTTTTTCAGTGATTTTAGGATTATCCAACTTTCTAAGAAAGGACTTTAGGAACTGTATACTATATAGTTCATTTAAAGATGTGTGAACTGAGGCCCAGATATTACACTACGAACCAGTCCAGGACAAAAATATTATTGTATTGGTGACATGTTAAAAGATTAGAATATTTACTTTTATTTCAAAATCAAATTCAAACTTGTACGGATGTTTCTTGGTGGTACTGAGCACCATTAGCCCCTAATGGAGAACTTCCTTGTCCTTGATGTGTAACCCTTGAACAGATAGCATCATAGAAGTATTTTCTGAAAAAGAGAGATTATTGGATAGTTAGTGTTAATAAAGTACAAATTGAAGCATAAATTCAAGGTCTTTTATGATCTCAGTTTTATGACCTCAGTTTTCCTAATCTGTGAAATGCAGGATCTCTTTCTAATATCATCTAGATTTAATTTAATGCAACATTTATCCTTTATATAGTCTTAAGATATTACTCAGACTTCTTATCTAGGAATAAAATTGACAAATTGTAATTAAATTTTCTGTCTCTAACTGTTGCCAATTCTGCCAATGAGCAGAAATGGATGAAGGCTGGTCAGCTAAGGGACCAGGTAGATTTATCTGGGTGGTTTTAAAATAGAACATATATTTTAGATACTCTTCTCTCATTATGTACTAATATTACCACTGTATTTTTGCTTTTCTTTTCCTCTTCCTCTTCTCTCTCTCTCTGTTTTTCTCCTTTTGTTTCTATAGTAAATACTTTGTCCTCTCCATAAGAGGTAACCTCGCCATACTCTTATGAAGGGCTTATGAAGTACACTTATGAAGGATTTCTTCATTTGGGGCACCGTGCTGTCCTACTTATTCTCATATGCCCTTTTTCTTTTTATTCACGATATGCCCAAATAGTTTTCACTTCTCTCAAATACTACTTGGGGAATAACAAACTCTTCTTACACCGAAAACTTTATTTCAAGAGGTTGCACTACTAATCTGCAAAAGAAGGAATTGAAGAGCCATTTAGCAGCATGGGTGGGAATTGTATAAAGACTGTGATTTTGGAGTTGGTGTCACAGTTTTCACTATTGCACTGTTTTCCTTTACATATTCCTTGCAAAGGACTTGAACAACCTTTAGATATGATAGTTCATTTTATCAGAGAGTTGTTTGGGCCAGGACCTCAGAGATAATTTCTGGTGGTTCAAAGAGGTTAAGTGACTTGTCAAAAATCCCAGAGATGTTTAATGACCAAACAGTGCCTTGAAAACAGATTTTGTAATTTTCAGTTCAGAGTTCTATACTAAGCTGCCTCGATTAGTTTTAATGATAATAATAATAATGATAATAGCAATTTTTTTTCCGGTGGCATTCACCTACATTGAGTTCTAACAAATTAAAATACTGAAATGTTTTGAAAAGTTGCTAAATTTAATTTTCCTGATTTTAAAAGTTTTACATACTCAGTAAAGAAAAAAGAAATTATTTATTATCCTATAGGCTAGAAAATTTCTGTTAACATTTTACATATTTCCTTCTGGTCTTTTTTTTCCCTAGTGCAATATTGTCTCTGCCAATGCACTTTGTAGATCTTGTTTTTCTCACTTAACATATTGTGAATATTCCTCATCTTCAAAACTTCTTCACAATTTGTTTCAAGTAACCAATAATATCACGTTCTATATGTACCATCTATTTCTTATTGTTTGACATCAAGGATTTTGTTTTCCTAATTTTGTGATATTATATGTTTGCATATATAATGCCAAGTCTGCTTATTTTCTTTAGATTCCCGGAACTTGGGAATGACCATATGAGCAGTTTTCTAACTTTTAGTTTCCAGATCTCCTTACACTCTAAAAAAGTTCTGAGGCCCCCAGAGAACTTTTGTTTATATGGGTTCTATCTGTTGATATTTACCAGAATATAAATTAAAACCGAAAATTTAAAAATTTACTTATTAATTTATTTTAAAATAACAATAATAAACTTATTATTTGTTAACATGTTATGTTTAACATAATATGATTAATAACCATTTCAAAAAAAAATGAGAAAATGGCCTTGTTTTACACTTCTGCAAATTTTTTTAACACCTGCCTTAATGGAAGGAAGACATATCTGCTTCTGTATTCAACCTGTTGTGTTATATTGTTTTGATTAAAGAATATGAAGAAACTCTGGCCTCAGACAAATATGTAGTTGGAAAGGGAAGAGTAATTTAATAGGCTTTTCAGATAATTCTGGATATTTTTGTTACTGCGTACAACCCAACAAGTGGCATTTTCTGAATGGTTAATTGCCACGTGGAGTGTGAAACTATATCACGAATCTTTTCACTGTTATACTATGATCCATTGACCTATCTTGAACTTTGAGTGGATCTTTTACCTATGCATGATTTTTGTCATCATGAATTGTTCTCTTGCAAAATGTTGGTTGTGAGTTATGCAAATCTTCTAAATGTCACCTTTCATTATATAATAATCAGAAAAATTCACATTTGTTAATATCCTCACTGATTTCATCAGGAAAGTCTATAAGATTTGAAGCTGTCAAGCTTATGGTGATGGATACAGAGTTTTCCAATATTTGAATTTTCCCTTGAAAGCTCAAATTTTATCATTGGCAACAAATACAATCACTTGTTTTCCTTGAAGTGATAGTCTTACATTGTTTATTTTTGAGAAAATGTCTGCCAGACACCCAAATCTGAATAATCATACTTTGTTTATTGTTTATTCAAGTAAAAATGGTGTTTTCATGGAAAAATCGGCCAGGTTAGCTCTCAATCATATAAGTGCTTTTCCTTGAGACAGCCATCAGACTTCTGTATACAGTAGACATACTTTGTATTTGCTTCTTATTATGTTATATAGAATGTTAAAAGGATGTGTATTCAAGGGTTGAGATTTAATACAATTAATAAGTGAATCTTAAGTGAAACCAGCTTTTTTTTTCTGGAAGTATGTAGTGGTGAAGAATACAGTGACCCCTTGGACAGATGTGCCTGGCCTTGATTTGTGCTCATGAACTGGCAACTTTACCTGCCATTGTTTGTGTACCATCAGTGCAGATGTCATATAGGGGAAAAGGCAAATCATGTCTTATTATTTCTATAAAGATAGTTTTGACTTTGTAGACCCCTGACAGGGTTTCAAGGACTCCAGGAGTCTATTGACCATACTTTGACAACCACTAGCTATTTCAAATCAAAGGATATTTATGTTTTGAAGGATTTCGATATGTATTGGCAAATTACTCTCAAAAAGATTGCACTAATTTTATTACCAACAGAGCATGAGAGTATCTGTCTCTGCAACTTTTGCCAGCTATGAAGGGAGTTATCATTTAATCTTTAATACGATGGATCAAGAATGATGTCTCATAATTTGCATTTTTTATTATAATACATTGTTCGTTTTCTCAAATGTTTATTGACCATTTAGTTTTCTTCTTGAATTACCTGCCTGATGTCCTTTACCTGTTTTCTATTGGAGTGTTAGTGTTATTGTTTGTTTGTTATTGTTTATTGATCTGCATATATTAAAGATGTTGATCTTTTATATGTCATATTTGTTGCAGATATTTTCCCAGTTGTTTGCTTTTAGATATCATTCTATTTTTGAAATGCTTAACTTTAAATATATGGGTTTTTTGCACTTTTCCTTTTATGCTGAGGAACCTCTTTTCTATTCTAAGATATGAAAAATAAATCTTTCACTTAAATTTTCTTCTAAGTTCTTTATGGCTTTCTTTCTTACTCTTAATTTTTTAATCTTTCTAGCTGAAATATATTTTAATATATGCTCAGGAATAAATATGTAGCTTAATTTTTATTTTACACTGTGGCTTCCACATGCTTGCCTTTCCCCATGGCTTCTTTGTTTTCACTAAAATTACAAATTTATGTCTTTCAAGTCATCACATTGAACCTGGACAATCCCCTTAGCCACTCTGGTCTCAGAATCCTCCAATTGAAAATGAAGGGTTAGGACTTTGTGATTTCTAATATCTTACAACTCCAAAATTCACTCTCTATTATTTTCTGTTCTGCAGTTTTTCAGTAATGGGCCCTTTGACCCCAAGAACACAGGACATATTGCATTTAAGTACTTACTGGGGACACATTTATTGATCTGCATCTTCCAGTTATTTCCTGGACCTTCTTATTGAGGTAGAAGCTCCTAGCCTAATTGGGTGTTACTTATCAGGCTATTATTTTAACATTATATTTTCTGCCTAAATACTAAATGTTATATATGCATTTGACTATATGTATATGTATGCATGTATATGGTTCATATGAGGCTGTTTCTAGAGAAATCTCAAGGGGAATAATTAAAAACTCATTTGGCTGAGCTCTCTATGCTTAAACTAAAACATGTGGTCTCTCTCTTCATTT